GGAGTCGGTGGGTAGAGATCATGGCCTGGAGGATGTGTTGGGTAGGTGTTTTAGTCCAGATGGGGAGGGAGTCGGCGGGTAGAGATCCTGGCCTGGAGGATGTGTTGGGTAGGTGTTTTAGTCCAGATGGGGAGGGAGTCGGCGGGTAGAGATCCTGGCCTGGAGGATGTGTTGGGTAGGTGTTTTAGTCCAGATGGGGAGGGAGTCGGCGGGTAGAGATCCTGGCCTGGAGGAGGTGTTGGGTAGGGGTTGTAGTCCAGATGGGGAGGGAGTCGGGTGGTAGAGATCATGGCCTGGAGGATGTGAGAGCAGAATGAGCATTCTACATAGAAGACCAGCACTCCATTATGAGGTCTATCTGCCTTTATTGGTCACCTTCATGCAGCCATATAACGTGCCGCCATCATCACATCAGGTTCCATCACGTCCTCCATGTGGTTTTTGGGGGTTTTGAAGTACATGAAGTTCCCATCATCGATATTTTTACTGAAGAAAGATATTTTCAGATATTAAAGTCTTGTCTCGCACTTATATATACAATCTGAACTAATAAAGCTTTTGGTCTCAGAATCTGCTTTATTTTTGGGGGGGGGGGGGGGGGAGTGCAGTGAGCAATATCTCGCAGAACTCTGAGGTACCATAATAAGAAAGCCCATACCCACACCACGAGGGCCTTATTGCAGTGCTTGTAGGCAGAAGACTCTACTGGAATACGCTCACGAGGTTGCATTAAAGGGTTACTCCACCCAAAAGTGATATTTCAGCACCAACAGGTGGGTGCTGTCCATCATAAGACCTGTGGGTGGTGCTAAGCATGTCCTACCACTGTGGAGGAGGATTACTAGTGGCCACAATGCTGATAATCCTCTAAAGCACTTTACATGAACAAAGGTGTTCTCTAGGGTTGAGGTCATGGTTCTGTGCAGGACACTCGAGCTCCTGGGATTGGGATGGCTCTATCACTGTTATTTCTGGAATGTTTTAAGCATGAACCTTCAAAAACAGAACTGATGTTGGATGAGAAGACCTGGATCTCCGTCTGCGTTCCAAAACATCCCAAGGTGTTCAGTAGGGTTGAGGTTGGGGCTCTGTGCAGAATACTCCAGTTGGGCATCCTGTCCTATAACCCTGGTCCCTTTATGTTGCTCTACCAGCCTCCACACTTCTGGGAAGGCTTTCCACAAGACTTTGGAGGGTTGCTGTGGGAATTTGTACCCATTTGTATTGTCAGGTACTGGCTTGCCTTTGGGATTCCAATTCATCCCAAAGGTGTTCTGTAGGGTTGAGGTCAGGGCTCTGTGTGGAAGAACTCGAGTGTCCTGCACAGAGCCTTGACCTCCACCTTACTTTTTGGAAGACCTCTGGTATAAGGTCTTCTTATCCAGCATCAATATCTGCCTTTAACCCTATGGAATACCTTTGGTTGTTGTTGACCTCTCTCCCCCCTAATATTGTGGCTATACCGTCCTCCGCTCTTCTGGGAAGGTTTCCATAAGATTTTGGAGGGTGCCTTTTGGGAATTTGTGCCCATTTGTGAGGTCAGGTACTGATGCTGAATGGGCTTGCCTTTGGGATTCCAATTCATCCCAAAGGTGTTCTGTAGGGTTGAGGTCAGGGCTTTGTGTAGAACATTTGGGTTCCTAGAGGACCTCAATCCTACTAAACACCTTTGAAATGAGAAGACCTCATCCTAAAGGTTTTAGGGTTAAGGGCAGGAACTGAAGTTTGATAAGACCTTATACAAAAGGTTTTCCAAAATAGGGTTGCGGTCAGGGCTCTGTACAGGACAATCAAGCCCCTCCAGGCCAAACTGGTACAACCATGTTTTTTTTACGTAGCCAGCTCCACTCTCTTGGCTCACAATCACCGTTCCAATTCATCTCAAAGGTGTTCACTAGGGTTGAGATCATGGTTCTGTGCAGGACACTCGAGCTCCTGCCGGACCTCAAACCTATTGAACACCTTTGAGATGACTTCTCATCCATAGGGTGAAGGGCAGGTACTGATGCTGGATAAAAACATTACACCAAAGGTCTTCCAAAGTAAGGTTGAGGTCAGGGCTCTGTACAGGACACTGGAGTTCCTCCACACCAAACTGGTCATCCATGTCTTTATGGAGTTGGTTTTGTACACGGGGACAGTCATGGGGGACAGAAAAGGGTCTTCACCAAAACTGGTCCTCCATGTCTTTATGGAGCTGGCTTTGTACACGGGGGACAGAAAAGGGTCTTCACCAAATTGGTCCTCCAGGTCTTTATGGAGCTGGCTTTGTACACGGAGGACAGTCGTGGGGGGGACAGAAAAGGGTCTTTACCAAACTGGTCATCCATGTCTTTATGGAGCTGGCTTTGTACACTGGGGACAGTCATGGGGGGACAGAAAAGGGTCTTCACCAAACTAGTCATCCAGGTCTTTATGGAGCCGGCTTTGTACACAAGGGACAGTCATAGGGGGACAGAAAAGGGTCTTCACCAAACTGGTCATCCAGGTCTTTATGGAGCTAGCTTTGTACACGGGGGACAGTCATGGGGGGACAGAAAAGGGTCTTCCACCAAACTGGTCCTCCATGTCTTTATGGAGCTGGCTTTGTACACGGGGGACAGTCATGGGAGAAGAGAAAAGGGTCTTCACCAAACTGGTCCTTCATGTCTTTATGGAGTTGGCTTTGTACACGGGGGTACAGTCATGGGGGGACAGAAAAGGGTCTTCCGAAACTGGTCATCCATGTCTTTATGGAGCTGGCTTTGTACACGGGGGACAGTCATGGGGGACAGAACAGGGTCTTCACCAAACTGGTCCTCCATGTCTTTATGGAGCTGGCTTTGTACACGGGGGGACAGTCATGGGGGGACAGAAAAGGGTCTTCACCAAACTGGTCCTCCATGTCTTTATGGAGCTGGCTTTGTACACAGGGGACAGTCATGGGGGGACAGAAAAGGGTCTTCACCAAACTGGTCATCCATGTCTTTATGGAGCTGGCTTTGTACATGGGGGACAGTCATGGGGGGACAGAAAAGGGTCTTCACCAAACTGGTCCTCCATGTCTTTATGGAGCTGGCTTTGTACACGGGGGACAGTCATGGGGGGACGAAAAAGGGTCTTCACCAAACTGGTCATCCATGTCTTTATGGAGCTGGCTTTGTACACGGGGGACAGTCATAGGGGGGCAGAAAAGGGTCTTCACCAAACTGGTCCTCCATGTCTTTATGGAGCCGGCTTTGTACATGGGGGGGACAGTCATGGGGAGAAGAGAAAAGGGTCTTCACCAAACTGTTACCACAAGGCTGGAAGAGCACAATTGTCTACAACAGTTTTTCTCAACCTTTTTTAAGTCAAGGCACCCTTTAAAATTATGGGCAGTCTTGAGGGGCCCCATTCCAAAATGTAAAAAAAACGATTCTAATAGTTGTATATAACGCAGCAACACCCACACACGTAGGACCCCCAACGCTAGCGGTGATTTATTCTTTCAAATCAAATACACTTTTGCACGCTGGTCCTGACTAGTACACCAATGTTTCTCCTCTCCCTCAGTTTTTCTCCATCACTGAACAAATGTGACCCCAGCACTGAAAGAACGGGGCGGGGGGAGGGTGAAACAAGGATGCTGTGCAGGCAACTGACATCCTCCTTATCATCTGATGATGTCATTGGTTGTCAGGACGCTGGTGGCTAGAAGGTCGTAATGGCGCCCAATGGAAATCTGTTGCTTTGTGTAACAAAAAGTCTGGCTTCTTCTAACCAGCTGGCTGGTGTACAAGTTTTGGGCAACTTTTAGACATCTTGCCAAGGCACCCCTGAAGATACCTCAAGGCACCCCAGGGTGTCAGGACACCGTGGTTGAGAAAGGCTGCTCTACACTCCAGTAGAGTACAGAAACCATTGGTGGTCAGATAGACTTTTCTACGTTTCTAACATTCTAAGATATCATGGATGTTGTTTTGTATTAATATTTTACACGTCGCTGCGATCAAAGAACGTTCCGGAAACTCACCCCCCCCGCCAATGAAACACCCCCCCCCCAATGAAACTCACTCCCCCCCCCCCCCAATGAAGTGGTGGAAGGAAGATGGCTTATTGGTCAGCTGCCAATAACTTGGCCTTGTGGGCCTTGAAAAGCTTTTGATGACTTTTCTCTATGGACTTGCACTGGGCCTTCAGAAGGTCTGTGGGAAAGAACATGGAGTTTGTTTGGACCTTCACACCATAATACATCATCACAACAGCAACTTATTCTACAGCTCATGGGGGGCCCGCCCTCCAGATCAGGGGTGGGGAACAGTGACCAGAGACTGCGGACACAATACAGGAGATGACCAGAGACTGCGGACACAGTACAGGAGATGACCAGAGACTGCGGACACAGTACAGGAGATGACCAGAGACTGCGGACACAGTACAGGAGATGACCAGAGACTGCGGACACAGTACAGGAGATGACCAGAGACTGCGGACACAGTACAGGAGGTGACCAGAGACTGCGGACACAGTACAGGAGATGACCAGAGACTGCGAACATAGTACAGGAGATGACCAGAGACTGCGGACACAGTACAGGAGATGACCAGAGACTGCAGACACAGTACAGGAGATGACCAGAGACTGCGGACAGTACAGGAGATGACCAGAGACTGCAGACACAGTACAGGAGATGACCAGAGACTGCAGACACAGTACAGGGATGACCAGAGACTGCGGACACAGTACAGGAGATGACCAGAGACTGCGGACACAGTACAGGAGATGACCAGAGACTGCAGACATAGTACAGGAGATGACCAGAGACTGCGGACACAGTACAGGAGACGGTCAGAGACTGCGGACACGGTACAGGAGATGACCAGAGACTGCGGACATAGTACAGGAGATGACCAGAGACTGCGGACACAGTATAGGAGATGACCAGAGACTGCGGACACAGTACAGGAGATGACCAGAGACTGCGGACATAGTACAGGAGATGACCAGAGACTGCGGACACAGTACAGGGATGACCAGAGACTGCGGACATAGTACAGGAGATGACCAGAGACTGCAGACACAGTACAGGAGATGATCAGAGACTGCGGACATAGTACAGGAGATGACCAGAGACTGCAGACACAGTACAGGAGACGGTCAGAGACTGCGGACACAGTACAGGAGATGACCAGAGACTGCGGACATAGTACAGGAGATGACCAGAGACTGCAGACACAGTACAGGAGATGACCAGAGACTGCAGACAGTACAGGAGATGACCAGAGACTGCGGACACAGTACAGGGATGACCAGAGACTGCAGACACAGTACAGGAGATGACCAGAGACTGCGGACATAGTACAGGAGATGACCAGAGACTGCAGACACAGTACAGGAGATGACCAGAGACTGCAGACAGTACAGGAGATGACCAGAGACTGCGGACACAGTACAGGGATGACCAGAGACTGCAGACACAGTACAGGAGATGACCAGAGACTGCGGACACAGTACAGGAGATGACCAGAGACTGCGGACACAGTACAGGAGATGACCAGAGAGACTGCGGACATAGTACAGGGGATGACCAGAGACTGCGGACACAGTACAGGAGATGACCAGAGACTGCAGACACAGTACAGGAGATGACCAGAGACTGCGGACACAGTACAGGAGATGACCAGAGACTGCAGACACAGTACAGGAGATGGTCAGAGACTGCAGACACAGTACAGGAGATGACCAGAGACTGCAGACATAGTACAGGAGATGACCAGAGACTGCGGACATAGTACAGGAGATGACCAGAGACTGCGGACAGTACAGGAGATGACCAGAGACTGCAGACACAGTACAGGAGATGGTCAGAGACTGCAGACACAGTACAGGAGATGACCAGAGACTGCAGACATAGTACAGGAGATGGTCAGAGACTGCAGACACAGTACAGGAGATGACCAGAGACTGCAGACACAGTACAGGAGATGACCAGAGACTGCGGACTGTCCAAAGGGCCCCAGCTGATGTTCCGGATATGACAGAAGACATATTAGAGGTCAGAGATCACTCCCACTCCTGACTGCTGGGCTCTGCAAAGGGCCACAAAGGTGGTAACAAAGGGCCTTGTGTGGCCCCTGGGATGCAGCTTTGGGCCCGGGGTGTACGTCTTACTATCAATATTCTACAAGCAATCAATACATTTGTACCTCCATGGATGATGCAGATGAACATGTTTAGTGGCTGCACCAGAAATGTAATATTGCTGAGCCCCCCCCTGACAGAGGACACCTCCTGCATGAGAGCGGGCTGTGCTGTCTGACCAGGAACTTCAGTGTCACTTAATGCAGCCGGATTCCTCTGACTTCAGGGCTCAACCCTTCCAACTGCCATTCCAGGGTCAGGTAAAGACGTTGTCACTGGATGGGAAGGGGGGGGGGGGACAGTAGGGGGGTCTGTGCTGGATGTAGGCCCCGCCTCTATTTAATTGTCCTATAAAGAGCCCCTGTCATCAAGGAAAGAGAAATCCTGCATTCCGATTACAATTCCCTGCTACAGCCCCCTCCCCCCCTGACATATCATAGCCTGTCCGTGCTGGCCCAGCTCCATCTGATTTCTGTCTGTGCTCCCTACCTATCTCAGCCGACCTTGAAACCTGCCCCCCGTCCACACCCCCCCCCCAAATAAAACTATCTCAGCTGACCTCAATACCCCCCCTCCCCCCCCCGCCCCAACCCCCCCAAACCAAACAAAACAAAACTACCTCAGATGACCTCGAACCCCGCCCCCCAAAAACAAAAAAAGAAACTCAGAGGACCTCGAAACCCGCCCCCCCAACCCCCCCCCCCACCTCACCACCCCCGCCCCACTCCCCCCAAACCAAAAAAAAATCTCATCCGACTTCAAAAATCACACCCCTCGGCCCCACTCCCCCCCCCCAAAAAAAAAAATATCTCAGCCGACCTCAAAATCGCACCCCCGGCCTCACCCCCCCCCCCACCCCCACCCCCCCCCCCCAAAAATAACCTATCTCAGCCGTCCTCAAAAATCGCATCCCCAGCCTCACCACCCCCGCCCACTCCCCCCCACCCCAAAAAAAAAACTATCTCAGCCGTCCTCAAAATCTGCACCCCCGGCCTCACCACCCCCCACCCCACTCCCCCACCCCCAAAAAAAAACTATCTCAGCCGCCCACTACAATGTACTGAGGTGATGAGACTTATGGGGGCACTCCGCCCACTACAATGTACTGAGGTGATGAGACTTATGGGGGCACTCTGCCTACTACAATGTACTGAGGTGATGAGACTTATGGGGGCACTCCGCCCACTACAATGTACTGAGGTGATGAGACTTACTGCCCACTACAATGTACTGAGGTGATGAGACTTATGGGGGCACTCCCCCCACTACAATGTACTAAGGTGATGAGACTTATGGGGGCACTCCGCCTACTACAATGTACTGAGGTGATGAGACTTATGGGGGGGGCACTCCGCCTACTACAATGTACTGAGGTGATGAGACTTATGGGGGCACTCCGCCCACTACAATGTACTGAGGTGATGAGACTTATTGGGGGCACTCCGCCCACTACAATGTACTGAGGTGATGAGACTTATGGGGGCACTCCGCCCACTACAATGTACTGAGGTGATGAAGACTTATGGGGGCACTCCGCCCACTACAATGTACTGAGGTGATGAGACTTATGGGGGCACTCCGCCCACTACAATGTACTGAGGTGATGAGACTTATGGGGGCACTCGCCCACTACAATGTACTGAGGTGATGAGACTTATGGGGGCACTCCGCCCACTACAATGTACTGAGGTGATGAGACTTATGGGGGCACTCCGCCCACTACAATGTACTGAGGTGATGAGACTTATGGGGGCACTCCGCCCACTACAATGTACTGAGGTGATGAGACTTATGGGGGCACTCCGCTTACTACAATGTACTGAGGTGATGAGACTTATGGGGGCACTCCGCCCACTACAATGTACTGAGGTGATGAGACTTATGGGGCACTCCGCTTACTACAATGTACTGAGGTGATGAGACTTATGGGGGCACTCCGCCCACTACAATGTACTGAGGTGATGAGACTTATGGGGGCACTCCGCCACTACAATGTACTGAGGTGATGAGACATATGGGGTCACTCCGCCCACTACAATGTACTGAGGTGATGAGGACTTATGGGGGCACTCCGCCCACTACAATGTACTGAGGTGATGAGACTTATGGGGGGCACTCCACCCACTACAATGTACTGAGGTGATGAGACTTATGGGGGCACTCCGCCCACTACAATGTACTGAGGTGATGAGACTTATGGGGGCACTCCGCCCACTACAATGTACTGAGGTGATGAGACTTAAGGGGGGAACTCCGCCCACTACAATGTACTGAGGTGATGAGACATATGGGGTCACTCTGCCCACTACAATGTACTGAGGTGATGAGACATATGGGGTCACTCCGCCCACTACAATGTACTGAGGTGATGAGACTTATGGGGGCACTCCGCCCACTACAATGTACTGAGGTGATGAGACTTATGGGGGCACTCCGCCCACTACAATGTACTGAGGTGATGAGACTTATGGGGGCACTCCGCCCACTACAATGTACTGAGGTGATGAGACATATGGGGTCACTCCGCCCACTACAATGTACTGAGGGGTGATGAGACATTATGGGGTCACTCCGCCCACTACAATGTACTGAGGTGATGAGACTTATGGGGGCACTCCGCCCACTACTACAATGTACTGAGGTGGATGAGACATATGGGGTCACTCCGCCCACTACAATGTACTGAGGTGATGAGACTTATGGGGGCACTCCTAAATACCCACTACAATGTACTGAGGTGATGAGAGACTTATGGGGGCACTCCGCCCACTACAATGTACTGAGGTGATGAGACTTATGGGGGCACTCCGCCCACTACAATGTACTGAGGTGATGAGACTTAAGGGGGGAACTCCGCCCACTACAATGTACTGAGGTGATGAGACATATGGGGTCACTCTGCCCACTACAATGTACTGAGGTGATGAGTGATGAGACATATGGGGTCACTCCGCCCACTACAATGTACTGAGGTGATGAGACTTATGGGGGCACTCCGCCCACTACAATGTACTGAGGTGATGAGACTTATGGGGGCACTCCGCCCACTACATTATGTACTGAGGTGATGAGACTTATGGGGGCACTCCGCCACAACAATGTACTGAGGTGATGAGACATATGGGGTCACTCCGCCCACTACAATGTACTGAGGTGATGAGGACATATGGGGTCACTCCGCCCACTACAATGTACTGAGGTGATGAGACTTATGGGGGCACTCCGCCCACTACAATGTACTGAGGTGATGAGACATATGGGGTCACTCCGCCAAAAACCCACTACAATGTACTGAGGTGATGAGACTTATGGGGGCACTCGCCCACTACAATGTACTGAGGGGTGACGAGAGTTATGGGGGCACTCCGCCCACTACAATGTACTGAGGTGATGAGACTTATGGGGGCACTCCGCCCCACTACAATGTACTGACCCCCCAGGGTGACAGACTTGGAAGGAACATTTACATTTATTATGTTTCTGCCGCTTCAGATGGTCGGACTGTTACCGGGGCCCAGCAACTCGCTGCTCTTTTTTTAGGGGCTTTTCTTGCCCAATTTTATTGGAAGGAGAAGTTCAACTTTTGTGAGCAAAAATAATAAATGTCTGTCTTTTAAAAAATTTATTTTTTTGTTTTGTTTTGTTTTCTAGGGTTTTAGTTTTTTTTTTGTTTTTTGTTTTTTTTTTTTTATTTTGGTTTTTTTTTTTTTTTTTTTGTTTGGGTTTTTTGTTTGTTGTGGTTTTTGTTGTAGTTTTTTTTTTTTTTGGGGGGGGGGGGGTTTAGGTAAAAACAAAAAATGGTACATTTATTTTTTGTTGTATGGTTTTTTTTTTTTTTTTTTTTTTTTTTTTTTTTTTCTTTTTTTTTTTTTGCATTTTGTTTTTTTTTTTCTAGGGCCTCTTTTTTTCTATTTAAATGTGACTTTTACCCAACATTGACATAATTGGATTGTTTTTTTTGGAGTATTTATGGTTTTATTCCATTTAATGTTGTTTTGGTTTTTTTTGCTTCTTTTTCTTCCCTTTTTTTTTTTGCCTCTTTTCTTCCCTTTTTTTTTTTTTTTAGTATTTCTTCTTTTTTTTTTTTTTTTTTTTCTTTTTCTTCCCTATTTTATTTTTTTTGTTTTTTTCTTTTTCTTATTTTTTTTGTTTATTCTTTTTCTTCCCTTTTTCTTTTCCTTTTTTTGTTTTTTTTTCCTTTTCTTCCTTTTTTTTTTCTTTTTTTTTGTTTTCTTTTTTTTTCCCCTTTTTTTTTTTTTTTCTCTAAAGTTCCCAATCTTTTTTTATTAATTCTTTGTCCTTTTTTGTTTTATTTAATCCTTGGACCCCTTTTTTGTCTTTTTGGTTGATGGAGTTTTTTTTGACTTCTTTTTCTTCTGTTTTTTTTTCTTTTTTTTGTTCTTTCTTTTCTTTTTTTTTTTTTTTTTTTTTCTTTTTTTTTTTTTTTCTCTTTTTTCTTTTTTTTTTTTTTATGTACTTTACTGCATTTTAAACAAGGGAGCTTTTCCACACATACTTTTATTT